ACAATGGTTGCAATTTTTCAACAACGTAATTATATGTTGGTTATTGGTCCCCGTACCCTCTGCCTCTGGTGCAATCTTTATACCACCAAAAAAATCAATGAACTTACTTGAAATTACTCATTTTTGTTTTCAGGAAAGGATGCTGCAACAAAAAGACAAGTGAATCTAGTGCCAAGTGACAGAGGGTTGACAGTAACAAAATGATCGTATACGTCTAGTTGAGTTAGACGGGCTTCATGACTTGAATATCATTGTGTAGTATTGGTGTTGAAGGTACACATAATACAGGTAATTTTGATTGGTGAATTGGGAAAATTTCCAGTTAGTTTTCTTGATGATGAGCAGAAGGCCCATATTTACAATTGTAAATTTTGTAACTTATTTGGGAAAATGGAATGTATGGTATTGAACAGTATTTTTTTATTAAAAAAGAAAAGAACCATCAATTTTGTCGAGCTTCTTGTGTATTCGAGACTTGACTTGTAGTTTCCACCAAGCAGGCACTTAATGTGGCTCAATAATGATGATGGTAGCTTTAACATAGCCAACTCTTGTAGCTTGTATAATATATATCATGACCAGCTGGTATTATTTTTATGTTGAATAAGATTACTTAGCCGTGATTTTGGTGTCCCAATTACTTAATCTTTAGGGCTGGGGTGGTTGCTTTTCCATCCTCTTATAAAAAATAAGAAAATTATTTTTTTGGAGAAGGGTGGTTTTTATTTTCCGTAATTCACTCTCTTTCTCTCTCTTATCTATTCACTCTTGGAGGGTTTAATTGACAAGTTTTTCCATAGAAAATAGTTTCCGACTTTTGGTCGTGTGACCATATTTTTCTCAAAAACAAGAAAATTGTTTTTATTTTTTATTTTTGGAGGGGTGGTTTTTATTTTTCGTAATTCACTCTCTTTCTCTTTCTTATCTATCAAACCTCTCTCATCTATCTACAAATTAAAAATGGACAAGTATAATATTTTATAGGTTGAAAGCTAAATCAAACACATTTAATTATTAATTTTCATACAAATGAGTTCCGAGACTTCCAATGAGGGTGAACCAGCCAAATTGGAATAAAGAATATTAATAGTTTTAGACTATTGAATTACTTAGAATTTATTTTTTTTCATGCAAATTTCTTGTCATTTTTTTGGTACGTTACTACGATTGGAATTTTAGTGGTTGGAAGTTGAAAATAATTTTAGTGGTTGGAAGTTGAAAATAATTGGATTTGATTTGATGAATTATTTGATGGATATGTTTTAAATTTATAAAGATAGTCGATGTTTTTGTACATCCAATTTGTATTTTTCTTCAAGTGATGCTAAGCCCAAAATAAATAAATTTTACTTTTTAATGTGAAATATGTCTGAATATGTTACTTTTTGCTGAGAAAATTACTTGAAACATTTTTTTAAGGTTTAATTTAATTAATTAGACAATAATTGTTTTTTAAAACAAAAATTAGGCTGTTACATGAACGTATCTAACAAGTCAATTATAATATAGATCTTAATTACACAATGTATAGATCATTATCATTTATGAAAAACATGTTACAGTCACATATCTCCTATTCAAAATCAAATATCACATGATTTTTGAACGTTTTTTGTAAGTTTGTTAATTTTGAAACTGTATTCTTAAACTATTGTATTTATGAATTTTTTTTTTTTTTTTTTTTAAGTGAGGAGAATTTAACTTTTATGTTTCTATCAAAATAAGTGCTTATATTCGACAATCGAAAAAATTATTTTATTTTGTATTATACTTTGCATTGCTCAAAATAAAACCCCAAATTGTCTTGAAGATCTTTAAACAATTATTGATGCATCTACATTTCAACACGTTCATTAGTTAACTTATGAAGAACCAATCTTTTCGGTGCTTGAAGTCTTACCATAAATTAAGTTACGACTAGTCAACCCTGAGAATGAAAGTTTGTTGTGTATATTTATGACACAACCATATTATTGATTCTAACGTCAACATGTGAGAAATACATTGAGAAAAAAAGTGAGATTGTACTGAACAATAATTTTAATTGCTTTTATTTTTCTTAGCCCTTGTCTTTTTCTGAATTTAACCATTTTTCTGACTATTGTCCTTTGATGGGTGCTGTCACTTTACTTCGACAGCGGTACAAAAATTGCTCTTAATTTTGGGAAAAAAGTATTGCCAAACAAGGGCTTAATCTTATTTATTATTCATCTCATCAATTATGTCAAAAATGTCATTCGAACATATGTTTAGTGCATAGTACTAGCTGTTACGTGATGTTAGCTTTCTATGTACAACTTCCTCAATTAATTATTGCTTCAAAAGATATGGAAAATTAGAATCATGTGAAGCTGTATATGGAAAGCTTAGGTCAGTAACATTAGCTAATCAAATAAACGATTTTAACTAATTTTTCTTCCTTCATATAATTTATTACTGTGGGATAGGATAGAAAGTGGCAAACAAACTAAGAGAAAGAGAAATCACATAAAACTTACATATATGTAGTCATAATTTTTATTTTCAATGCTAGTGAGAAGTGCACTTCACATAGCTTATCTTGTGAGCACTAATTATTGGGCCATTTATCAATTTTATTATTTAAAAACAAGTAAATATCATCCAAATTATTTAAATTTGAGTGCGTCGAAGGTGGGAGGTTCGTGAAATAAGTCTTTCGCCGCCCTATTACAGGGCTCCCGACGTTGGAAAGTCGGAGGTTAAGTGAAAATGACAAGGTCAACGATAGAGTTCCAATCTCAAAGGACGTATTTTTTTTTTTTTTTTAATTACATGTAAACACATTTATCATTTTTTTTCCTACATTTAGCTGTTGAATGGATTCCCATCCAATTAATAGTAAATATTCTACACTCATCAACTATTGAAAAATCAAACATAACTGTCAACATCAACCCGTTAGATATTTTATTAGCGATATTAAAATTATTGGATTTTGTATATATCTGCTATGAATTAATTTCCGTAGGTATTTGAATTTATTTCTAGATATCTAACATTTAACCCCTCAATATATTTCTAAATTTAAGAGCAAATTCCAGAATTTACAATATTAGAGATTATCCTCCAAAATGTTACTCCAACTTTGCCACTTTCATGCAGGAAAAAAAATTATAGATTACTATTATTAGAGATGAATGACAGCAAGACTTGAACTCCTAATCCTATTGAAGGTGGACACAGAAGCCATTCACGCCAGTAGGTGTCTAAGCCTAAAAGCAGGCGGAATTAAAAGGATAAAGCAACAGAAAATTTAATGAAAATCAATTTTGCAAGTTGTAAGGATCCAGGTAATTGAACGAGTATAAGTGCACACATAATTGAGTTTTGCAGCAGCATCACAGTCACAATGGACTGCCCGGAGAATTTGGAATCGGAGTTAAAAGAGTTAAGAGACACGTTCAATTCTGGGATAACAAAACAAGAGTCTTGGAGGAGGTCTCAGCTCAAAGCTCTCCTCTCTTTGCTCGAGGAAAAAGAGGATGACATAGCAAAGGCCCTTGAACAAGATTTAGGAAAACATCCAGTCGAATCTTTTCGAGACGAGGTACGAGGTTTTTCTACTTATTCAGACCATTAAATTTGGGTCGACTCCATGAATTTCCTTTTCTTTTTTTCTTGTTTTGGTTCATTAATGTTAGATGGATCTGTAGTAAAGACTGAAAGAAAATTCACTATTCTATTCTAAAACCTTGACAGATTTTATGTATATAAATATCTTCTGATTAATATAGGATACAAATGCATGGATTCTGATGTTCAGTAATGTATGTATTTTATTTCTTTTCTGGGAATTTCCTGTTTTAGTACAAATTGGTTACTCTTAAGAAAGCAATCTCTTATTACTCACTACTCCGTCACTATTTAATTAATATTTGTATTATTTATCATCTTCGATATATAAGATCTTTATCATTTCCAGCTGTTTGTATTATTATTTTCATATCTCAACTAATTAGCCAATAATTATTTGTCTGCAGGTAGGACCTTTAATAAAATCTGTAAACTATGCATTAAAAGGGTTAAAGCGATGGATGTCGAGCAAAAAGGTCATCTCTCTCTCTATTGATTTCAATTTGGCTTGTTTGTTCAAAATTGATCGGTGGTTTCATAAAGAATATAATGCTATTTCACATTAACGTCATCTAGACTGGAGTTGTAACCCTAGCAAGGCTAATAACATTACTCGTTCATAACTTGAATAGTAAAAAATTTCCATGTACAAAATGCTAAATTTATTGTGAATAAAGTTTGTTTACTTAAGATTGACGATTCACATCCTTTCATTGATTAACCAGGTTGATTTGCCTATCGCTGCATTTCCTTCGAGATCAGAGTTAGTTCCCGAGCCCCTTGGCGTCATCCTTGTCATATCATGTTGGAATTTTCCTTTTGGTAAGATTTCAACTCTTACAGGCCGGTTTCAATTTTTATGAATAGTTTAAAACGTGCACAATTCTTATAAATGACTGACGGGAAATCTTGATCCCAAGCTCATTTGCACGACCATTTTGAATGATGTCTACAAAAAAGACGACCTTAAAGATGGGATACATTTATTTATTTATCTAAATTTTTGTTTTCACTGTTCAGAGTTTATAAAGATGATGTGTTTATGGTTTTCATGTAAAAATCTCAGGAATATCATTGGAACCACTGATAGGAGCAATTGCAGCAGGAAATACAGTGGTTCTAAAGCCTTCAGAGATAGCTCCAGCATCTTCTTCGGTTTTGGCCAAAACAATCCACAGTTACCTCGATAATAAAGCAATTAAAGTCATTCAAGGTGGTCCCTCAATTTGTGAGAAATTATTACAACAGAAATGGGACAAGATTTTTTTCACAGGTACATGGACAAAACTAAAACACTCCTCTGAAATAAGCTGGGAAAATCCAAGATTGTGGGACAAAATCTATTTTGTTTTTCGTGAATGCATAGTGATGACATGGTATTTACACGAAGTTGTTCTCAAATATTTCGTCTTTTGTCTTCTTATTTGACTCTTTAAAAATAAAATAGGGAGTGCAAAAGTGGCTCGTATTGTTATGACTGCTGCTGCTATAAATCTAACTCCTGTCGCCGTGGAATTGGGTGGAAAATGCCCTGCCATTGTTGATTCCCTCTCGAGTTCTTGGGATAAAGAGGTAAATAAGTATTTCTATATTGGTAATCTTCATATTGACTCCTATTTAAATTCTTCATTTTGAGGGGCATATATCTTAGGCATTGATCGAAAGGATCATCTCGATCCTAGCCTTAGATAGGCAAAGAATTTCGATCTTGACATCCTGTGGTGCAAGTATCTTAGGCATTGATCGGAAGGATCTTCTAGATCCTAGTCTGATTGTCTGAGATAGGATAAGAATTTTGAGCTTTTATGATTACTACAGAAAAAATGGCTTGATCAATAATAATTTGAGATTAATACTGTTTTCAGATTGCAATGAAAAGAATCCTTGCTGCAAAATTTGGGACCTGTGCTGGCCAAGCATGCATAGCCATTGATTATATCCTTGTGGAAAGGAAATTCTCAGCCACCCTGGTATTATTTACTTATAAGTGCTATTAAGCCCAAGTTTTCATTGATTATAATTTTTAGCTTATAAACAACATGGTTTTTATCAAATTTTATATGCTTGTTACAGGTAAATCTACTAAAGGGCTCCATCCTTCGAATGTTTGGGGAAAACCCGAAAGAGTTAAATAGTGTAGGGAGAATAATCAACAAAAATCATTGTTCAAGACTAAGGAAACTCTTAGACGAGACGGGGGTTAAAGCTTCTATTGTTCATGGTGGTTCATACGATGAAGACTCTCTGTAAATACAACCATCTCTCGACCCCTCTTTCTTTCGTGTTGAGTCACCTCTATTTATGCTTATAAAGAGACGATGAATTTATTTGTCTATATTTAAATCTTTAGCATGTCCTTCATGAGTAGATAAAATTCAATATTTTTATTAAATGCCTCACACTCGAAGTCAAGAATAACATAACTAAACATGTTTGAAAACAAAAAGTTACATATTTAATGATTAATCTGTTTACTGGTTACAGGTTTATGGAGCCAACTCTCTTGGTTGATCCTCCTCTTAATGCTGGAATCATGACAGAAGAAATCTTTGGTCCATTGCTCCCCATAATTACTGTGAGCAGCATATATATGATTTTTCTTCTCTTTTGTTTCCATCTTTTACTATGAATAGATGATTTTCAAGAACTTGTATTACTACAAACAGGAGTCATCTTTAGATTTCAAGAGTGTCTTGGTGAATTATATTTTTTTTCTCAGGTGGAGAAAATAGAAGATGGTATTGAATTCATCAAGTCTAGGCCAAAATCATTAGCTATTTATGCCTTTACCAACAATGAAACTTTAAAGAAAAAGTTAGTATCTGAAACATCATCGGGAAGCGTGACTTTCAATGACGCAATCATCCAAGTAAGTTTAGAAGCAACTACTATATTTTTTGCCGACTTGAACTTAAAACCTTGAAGTTTTAGAGCCATTAATGTTTCATCAACTAGCTTACGTGTTTTTTAACATGCACAAGGAGATTGTGTCGTCTTGTTTCTCCAGTAAAATGGATTTTTTTTCGAGTGCAGTATGTAGCAGATACTATTCCATTTGGGGGAGTGGGTGAATCTGGATTTGGAAGGTACCATGGGAAGTTCTCATTTGATGCGTTTACTCATGAGAAACCAGTAGTATTAAGAAGTTTCCTTACAGATTTTTGGTTCAGATATCCTCCATGGAATGGTACAAAGTTGCAGATTTTTAAATCTGCATATCGATTTAATTATTTTGAAATTATTCTCATATTATTGGGCTTGAAAAGATCATGAGAATTTCAAATTCTATGGTTTGCAGAAATAAGGCTAGTAGGACTTGTACTCTTATCATTTTTATTGTATTCTATCAAGAAATGGTGTCAAATATTGATGAAAATTATGTTTTGTCAATGAATGTATACTCTAATTTAATTTTTATATCTATTTTTAGCATGCAAGTGGTTTTGAGTATACTCAAATTAAGTAATAGAATTAATAAAAGCAGGAAAAAAACAAAACAAGTACTAATTGTTATCAATAACTCTTGGATCACAGACCCTTCATAATCAAAGAAAGAAAGAAAAGAATTTCATTGAGTTCTTTTGCTTTTAAGTTTAGAGCTTCCAGATGAGTAAAGTGTCCATGTCCAGCCTTTAAAACAGAGGCTTCTCGATTCTGCTTTCGTACTACCAACTTCTTAAAGCATTTTCAAATATGAAAACCATATAAAATTGTGGTAAATATACTTCCAATGAAAATTTATCGAGGAAACTGACCTTATTTACCCAGAACTTCAATATTTTAATATAGAAGAAACGAAGAAAATTAGGTATAGAAACCAAAGAAAAAATGTCGTAGAAAAAAACAGTAAAACCTTGAACGAGATGGAAAAGTAAAGCCGCCATTCCTGATAAGAATATTGCTCTAGTCCTTTGGAGCGTTAACAATCACCTCCTTGAAACAAATTGGGCAAGCCTGTTTTAGTAAAAATGGTTAGCGACATATTGGTAATGCACTTGTAAAGAAAGTTACCAAGGCGATTAGCTTACTTTGTTGATACTGAGCCATTTGCTTCCACAACCTGCATGGTAGACGTGTTTGCAAGGAAGAGTCATCTGCCTATCACGTCGTTTGTACTCCATCTGGCAGATTACGCACCTATTAACGGAAAAAGAAAAGGTCCCGTTAAACACCGTCAATCTGAAAATCATTCTGAAAGTGGATGAAAAAGCTCGATAGATGACATTTGAGATATGGAACAAATAAAACAAAGCGGCCATAAATTGTTCAAGATGCTAAAGTTTAATCTAGGGAATCTCATGGTTTTCACCTGACTACACTATAGCCTTTGTTTGACAACCATTATTTAAAAACTTGTTTTTCTATAAACTCATTTTCAACCACACATTTACACAATAAAATATTCTGCACGTAAATAAAAAAAAATTTCTTACTTTTTAACCATACATCCTCCTAAAAATAACTATTCAAAACATTTTTTTGGCTGAATAGAGGACATCAAACACAAGCTAGACTTGGTCTATGCTACGATGATGAAATTAGAATTTTTTAGTTATGCCTAAATTAAAAATCAATTGATAATTGGTATCCTGTTCACTTAACTACCCAAATATAGACATAAACATGGGGCTGGCTTCAACTAGTTCTAGGCTTGTTCCAATGAGTCCTAAAAGGTTATTCGTGGGTTGAGGGTTATTGTTTTGAGTAAGGATGTGAATAAGACCATCAGTTAGTTCAACCGATAAAATTCCAAATTTATACATTGAAGAACCAATGAGGTAGGCAGATAAACAAATGCATACTCTGAGAAAATATACGATTAACAAAAGCAGTTTGACTTTCTAAAACCCCTAACCCAGTGACGGACATGAATTACGAGAATGCTAAGGGAGATTCAATAAAATTGAATCCAAGATGAGAAACCTTTGAAAGATTATGGTACACGAACAAGAAGTTCCCACTAATATGGCAAAATCTCCAGCAATCCATATATGGTCTAACAAATAAATCACCGGTTTGCTTGCAAACAATGTGACGCAAATACTTGAAGTTAGCTCAGAAATTACAGAAAGAAAGTGAAGCATCAAATGAGTCCAAAACAATAGAGCTAATATCTCACAGCCTATCCGACAGTAGGCCTAAAGAGGCAATGATAGAAATTGGGAACAGATAATGGGCGAGAAATACAGATTTATCATGAAGTATACTGCAGTGAACATGGTACTGGGAGAAAAAAATAATAATAATAAAAAAATATAAAATAAAAAAAAATTAATAATTAACTTTAGTTGGGAATAAACTTTGTGGCTCTATCTTACCTTTCAGCTCTGAATCTCTTTCTTGAGAATAAGCCACATTTGAATTTCGATAATGGGAGCAGCGCGATAAGTTCTTGAGAAAGACCCCTGCTTTGATTTCCAACAGCTTCACCCAACTCAAGTAACTCCTACAAGGAAATGAAATAAATATATATTTTAGTAAACTCACAACTTTATCCTTTTTTTTTCCAGCTCTAAGATAAATGTCACTGTCCATTGATTTCATGATTTCACGGTTAAGATTGGACAGAATAGAAGAAAATAGAAAGCCAAGCAATAAGAAAACTGTTGGCAATACAATGCAGTTCATCAAGTACAAGAATAATCAAGAGCAGAACAAAGTATTCATTTATGGCAATTATCCGACATGTTGACATTGATAATAACCACTCTATAAAAATAATATAACCAAAGGGATTAATGTAAGAAAAAAATTCCCCACAAGAAATTGTCCACTGAAAGAAGCAGCTTAAGTGTTAAAAGAAATGGGCAATGCTCTCACAATGATAAAAACAACGGGCAACAAAATGAAATGGAATTTTATGCCACCACAGAAATCTATTAAAAGAAATTCATGATCATTTGATGAGCAGTAATATTTCCCCAGTGGAAGCAACCTCGGTTCTTCAAAATCACTTCACCTGAAGTCATGCACATATTAGCAGAAAAAATATTGCCCCCTTACTTTTATCCAACTACCTGTGGAATCCCCATTGTTTTTCAAGTTTACAACTCTGCCCTATAATAGTGGATAATTATTAGGCCTGAATATTTTGGTTCAGTTTTGCAACCAAAGCTGCCAAATTTTCAAGGTTTTTGTCACCTATTTTTCTTCTTTTTCCATCTTTAAAGTCAATTTTCATTGAATTCTCTGGATTTATGTACTTCACTGCTGTGAATTGATAGTGTTAAGCAGATTCTTGTATTTTCCTCCTAAAATGTGTCAAACTGTGAAGTAGAAGAAAAGAAAAGGTGATAGCCAAGAGACTTTTCCAAAATTTAAGGAGCAAAGTACCATGCTAAGATTGATATAAGCTCTTTGTAAACTATGTCTTGACATACATTTTTCCAATGGGGCATGTGTTATCAGGCTGCAAAGGATTTAAATACTTATTCTTATTGATATCAAGTTAGGGAGAAAAGCTTCAATAGGACATCCATATATGCGCACATGATAGGACTGTCTATTTAAATCATGTAACTTCAGACCTCAAGCCACTCAAAATGCGACACATAGGCATCCGAGGTGGTAAGAAAGAAATAAAGTGAGCGTGTGTGATACCGAGGTGAGTCTCATTTTGAATGGTTCAAGGTTCAAGGTGTCATAATTTGAATGGACGGTCCTACCATGTGCACATATAGGACCATCCTCCCAAAGCTTCTCTCTAAGTTCTGGGGTCACATCTGATTGTCTAGAGTCCACCTGGGATCCACCCAGTCAGCCTAGACATACACACTACAGGATGGCGATAGCACTCATGCATTTCTACAAGACCTCGTATTGCACAGCCAACAAATTTTTGGCAGTGTTAAAGTCTCCTCTTAAGGGATTTCCTCCTTTTTTTTTTTTTTCCTATCGAAGATATTTTATATATAAAAGCCTAGGGCCTATTTAGAGCACTTATATCAAATATGACAAACCGTGTTGAGAATACGGGAACAAATAGTCATGTAGAGCTCTTCATGGTTACATAAATGAAACGGCTAAGTATTAAAATTTGTTCTACAAAAGTCCAGGTAACAAAATGCACCCTAATTTAAGAATTTATTACATACAAACCCTTGAAATATCGCAATATAATCTTCTGAAGCCATGTTTTGAACAAAGTTACCAGACGTCTTTTTACCTAAACTTCTGTTGGACTTCTCATTGTCCATAACTTCACATTGCAAAAGTCCATACCTGATTCCATTATAGGAATTGGATGTTACCTAACCACTAGCAACATTTTCTAATAACCTCTTAGTTATTCATATGCTTTCAACAGAGAACCAATACTCTATATATCTCCTTGATTAATTAGAATTAGAATTATGAAGACAATACTCTGCATGATTAACATTTCTAACCTCATAAGTCATGTTGTCAGGGTCAATGTCGTCTTGCCAAACAGCCTGCATCAATTCGCAGAAGGTGAGTGAACAAATTTCTTGCTCTACGTGCTCCTTCAAGTTATGAAGGGGATTATAAGTATGAAAAGTTCAGCATTAGTATAACAATGAAGGATGTAACAACATACCTCGTAATCACGAGTATTCTGATGATTCCGAGGACCTAGAGGATTCCAAAGAACAAAGGTCACTTTATATTTTATATTTCTATACTTAATAATTTTTAGATACAGAGATACACATAATAACACATCAAAAAACAACATCTGTAAGTTGAAATGCATATAAGATCATCGATGCAAAGATATATGATATCCATGAGCCAGGGGTTGCATGATTTAATATCCATTTTCTTTCCTCAACATAGGATTGCAGCAAAAGTATCCATTAATTTTCTTTCTCAACTATCCCAAGCATAAGAACAACCAGAAAGGATGGGTCCAGTTTGATAATGGAAATTCATATTCAGCTTTCCAGCAGGACGGCAATAGTCATGGTGCATGAAGGTGAAAGAGGAGGAGGAAAAGTAAAACACCAGACAGATTTTTCACGTGATGAAAGAGAAATACCGTGGAAACATTTGCTTTAGTTCATAAGGTAAAATCTGTATATCACTATCAGTACAATGGAAACTAAAATCAAATCTCACACTCTAACGGATCAGCAGGTGAAGTGGAGCTCGAATGTCCTTCCTGATTCACATGTGAAACTGTAGCCGCATCATCAGCCACCGATGAAGGGCTTTCCAAATGCTTATTATATTCATCAATTCCAATCATTTGATCATTTACCACATAACCGGGCCAATATTCATAGTATGAAAAACTTCCAGGTTCAGAAATCGCATATTTGAACAAATTAGCATTCGCTGCTGCATAAGCACTCTCCTGCACAAAATTTGAAACAATCACTTACATTGTTCTCACCATGAAAGAAATAAGCAAAAAATAAAAGAACAGACATTTTCCTCCAAATTCAAGTCCAAGAGAGTAACCTTGAGATTCTAATCAAAACATTTTGTGAATATAAAGACCAAGTTATGCAAACAGAAAAGGGCAGAAACTTTATTATGCCCTTAAGTAAATTCATGCAACTATTAAACCTATAAGGAGGCTTGCATATAAGCCAACTCAATACATGGTGTACTTTCTGAAGTGTTTTTTGGATCTTGAAAAAGGCTTAGCCCTTGTGTGAAGTTGATTTTCGGAGAAGTGGTTTTGTGAAAATTGATTTTTTGGAGAACGTGTGATAAAAAAAAATAAATAAATAAATAAAAAAAAAATATATATATATATATATGTGTGTGTGTGTGTGTGTGTGTGTGTGTGTGTGGAGAATGTGCAGCTAGAAATGAGTGTGGTGAAAAAAATGCTTTTGAGAAAATCAGTTTTCAAACAAGGGCTTAATAACTATTGAAGCTAGACTATTTCATTTGAGCCAATCTAGAACAAGCTTCTGATGAAATAAATCTGACTTGAGCTTTTGATTCTTTTTTGGTCAATAATATGAGCTAAAGCCCATTTTTGAAACTCAATTATTAAACATCCCAAGGTAACTCTAAAAATATTTAGTTCAGTGTCCTTCAAAATGGAACAGCTGATAATGTACCTGAACATAAGTAGCATCTGCAAAAATGAAATTTCCATGATCGTAGGTAAGACCTCCAAAATAATCCACAAAACTTCCAATTGAATTATAAGGCATGGCATGGTTTGGATAGTGAACTTCCATCTGTGAATTCCAGCTCATTTTTGAAGAAGAATTTCTGATGCACCAAAAAAATGCAAATATCAAACTTATGATAACATTGTAACTCATATGATTCCAGGAGTTGTTGAAAGAAGTATGTATATCTACTATTGATATCATTGCCAAATTCAAGCAAATAGATATATCACATATGCAACTAAAATCAATAAAATTTGAGAAAAGGCGAATTAAGCTCAATAGCACTATTTCCAGTTTAGTAATTTATGCAAATCCTGTAATGAATTAACAATCAACAACTTTCTGTTAAAAGAGTTCCAAAATACTTTCAATGCATATTGTAATTAAGTGAGAATGTATATTAATTTACTTCCACATATAGGAAAATAACCCCAAAAAAAAGGCCAGTTTCAACTCAAATGGGTCAATATTTAGATTTCTCTTGTAAAAATGTAAGAAAAAGTTAGCTAAATATAGAATCTGAAGAAGATGATAGCTTGACAAACCCGAAAGAATTAAGAGGAACAAATATCAAGAAATTACAAAGGCATTAACATAATTTTCAGCAGAGAGTTTCTGTTAAGATTTTGTGCATTTTCCTGAAAATTAAAAGATTCCTATCAAACTTCAACACCGAGAATAAATTAGAATCAATACCACGTTTTATCAGCGATAAAACAAACCGCTAATCTCCGAACATAATACGACACAAGGAAAACAAATCAATCGAACAATCAACAAAAAGAAACACAAAGCAAAGAAAGACAAATACAGCTCGAGAGATTATATTTAATGCAAAAATAGATTCTCGAAGAAATAAAGAAAGATAAAGAACCGACATTGATCGCTTTCTGAACGTCAGTCTTCACCTGATCAAAACAGGATCCCTCCCTCTCTCTCTCTCTCTCTCTTTGTGTAGAGGTCATGAAAATGAGAGGCTGCTGTGACAAATTTTGTCTGTATTTTATAGGTGGACAAAAATACAGAACATCAGGATATTGAGAGGTGATATAAAGGGACAACACAATCTGCACAATGTACAACATTTGTACTCTCCATTTTGATTAAACTTTCGCCAACTTCAATAAACTAACGAGACGAGCAAGCACGTTCACGTCTGAGAAGTAAAGTAAAAGAAACCGGCTATCTCCTTTTGCCTGACTTTTTTTTTCCTCCCATAATCAAATGGGACCATCCTCAATGCAGAACTCAACAACCAATACTTCCAGTTTCCGGTAAAAAGTTATTCATACGAGGTTAGCATTAAATTTTTTATTATAACATATAACATGTTTAGCTAAAAATCATTTTTTTTAAGTAAATTTTAATAAAAGTTTATATATCCCTATTTGATAGAAATTTTAATTTTAATTTTTATCTAAGTTAAAGTCAAAATCAATAATTAATTTTATCCACGTATTTCTTGGAATAAACAACTTTTTTAACTATACATTTCATTAAATTTTATCAAAATCTTCTAAAAATTTGATTTTAAAATGCACAAAATTGGAACACAATGTGTGAATGAAAGTGAAGTTAAGAAAAAATGAAGATCAAACATAGAAATAATTAAGTACTTGTTTGGTAGAGATTTTAATAATTAATTTTTTGACCGTTGGAGATAAAGTAAATCCTTGTGAGAGAACAATTCAAAAATGACAATTGAAATAATGAAATAACGGTCAAAAAAATTGATTTTAATTGGATTAATAGTTATACCAAACAAGCTCTAAGTTTATTCTAAAAAAAAAAATCACTTATAAGTAAGGCACCCCATATTTGGTTAGCATTCATTGTCATCTTACCCCTTCTAGACTTGGGAAGAGAGACGAACAAAGAGATGCAAACATGGGAGCTAAGGAGTGCGTCGCTACACCTAGAATTGAGAAGTACTCAAGAGTGATACACGAAAGGCACATACATAAAAATGGACCTTGTGAGAGTCAAAGATTGATGGGCGCAAGGATGCGCAAAAAGGGGTGCAGAGGATGAGGATGCAAATATGGTTTAGGGTTGCCGGACGAAGGATTTTTTTCTTAATTTCTTCTCCCTCTTAATGTTTTTTTTCTTAATTGAAATATTATTTTCTTATTTCACCATTGTCTCATGAATTTTGACGAGTAAATTTAATCAATGCTTACTGAACTTTAACTTAGTTACTACTTGCTCACTTATCTTTCATGGGTTACTGAATGTTCACTCATCTTTCTATATAGTTACTCATCCATCACTCGTCTCTTCAAATAATTGGACGACTTTTGCGACAACTTTCCGACAACGTCCTCTTCAATTATCACCCAAAATCTCCCTATAATTCCAAGGGATTCGATCGGAAAATTGCCTTAAAAGTCGCTCAAAAATTCTGAAAATCTGCCTAGATTTTCAGATTTTTTGGGCGACTTTTAAGCCAATTTTTTGACAACTTCTGATAATCAAAACTGCCGAATTTTGATACCGTTGGAAAGCCTATAATATCTTCTTCAATTACTACCCAAAATTTCTCCATAGCTCCAAAGGATTTGATCGAAATAAACCCACAAAGTCAGCATCCCGAAAAGGTGAAAATCTGGATAGAGTTCGGGATGTTGACTTTGTGAGTTTATTCCGATCGAATCTTTTGGAGTTAGAAATTTTGGGTGGTAATTGAAGAGGACATTGTGGGCTTTCCAACGGTATCAAAATTCGACAGCTACATAAAGTATATACGAAGAATATTTTCAAAAGATCCTCTATTTATTAAGAGCATCTTATGCATAATAAAGAATATCTTTAAATTTAGAGAGTAATTTTTTTTATACACTCCAACAAACTCTTTATTTTGATTCTTTATTTTATTTTTTTCCAATGAATATTTAATAATTTCTCCACATATTTTATTTAAAGTATATTAATGATTAATCAATTCAAATGTAATTTGAAAAACTAAAATTGTAGGTTATTGAAATTTGTAATGTATTAAATGCAATCATTGTACATTTAGAATAGAGAATGGATTTGGCTCTCTAACTTTGGAGAGCCAAACACACTCTCTACTTTAAAAATTTAAAATAAAGTTTCTTGAAACTCATTTTTAAGTATTGACTCTCTAAAAATAAAAAATATTTTGTATTTAAAGAGTTTCTTAGAGATACACTAAGAGCTTATTTGGGTTAAAGTCAAACAATTAATATTAATCATATTTTTCATGGATTTCACAACTTTACAATCACACATTTCAAAAACTTCTATTACAATCTATTAAAAAATCTAATTTTAATCCCTATAATACATACAGTGAGTATGTGAAGAACATCTTGGTTATCCTATCCATCACGGGATGAAATGGTTAATCGCATTGTATCTGCAAAGAAGATTTTATGGACACGTGAAGGTTTGAGAGATAAGGCACGAATTTTTTGTTGTATCTATCAACAGTTCACTTTTAGCAACTCATGGGTTTATCATTCATGTAATGTAAGAGAGGACAAAACCTGGCGTGCAATGCAAGGATTCATGCACCAATCCTTTTTTGTCACTACACATGACAAAGTTAATGGAACTAGTTATCATATGCATTTTTTCAGACCCCACTTTTCAGTTTACGGCATAGGGAACAATATTTACCTATTATGAGGTGTTTGACTCATATTATTTTGAGAATAATATATTTTTAAATACTGTATTAATGGAATATGTGTGATTAAAAAATAAGAAAATTTTTTTGATCTGCGTATAATATTATTTTATTGAAGAATGTATAGTTGAAATAATATCAAATCATTATTTAAGAATGTATTTTTTTGGAATAATGTGGCTCAAACATGTCCTATATAAAAAGTTGAGTGTGAAGAATGTGAAGTTATCGTAAAAAGTAACGGTGATTTCATCCATTTTATCTTACTATAACTTTTTTTTTTTTCGTGAGCAAAAACGACATTGTTTTCTATTCAACTATTTCTCTACATGCTACAGTGACATTTTCTCTCTTCCTCAATTCGTGTATATTTTTTTTATATCTTCTCCATTTCCACAAGTTACAATTTTTTTGGTTCTCCATTTCACCACACAAATCACCTATAATTTCTTCTTCTCTCTGAAGTTTATTGGGTCTTTTTTTTTTCCATGGACGAATGATTTATTGATTTAAAAATAAAAATTATATAAAAGAGGTAAATATAGAATGAAGTCTTTTTATCTTACAATTATGTAAAAAGAAACAAAAAAAAAAAGGAAAAAAAGCCACACGCACTCCTCCTACCTAGATTTTTGACAAAAAATCTCATTTTTTTAATATAAATCATTTAGGGTCTGTTTAATTGGTTCGAATTTCATGAAAAATGGAATTTGAATTCCACATTTTTCCAATTTTATGTGTTTGATGCATTTTAATTTCCATTTTCTTGCTTGTCATGGAAAATGATATTTTCTTGGTTTTTAAGGAAAACCAATTCCCACCACCTTCCAACCTACTGTTCATGTTTTTTTTTTTTTTTTTTTTTTTTGGGGAAAGGAAACAAATTCTAAGAATTATTGTAAAAAAAAAAATATTTCACTTTAATTGGCAATTTTCATGTAAAACAAAGCCAAACGAATACCAAAAGACAGATGATTTTTTCGATATTTTTTTTGTTAGCAATGAAAAGAAATTTCATTTCCAATACCAGTAAAATCTATCTCTTTAATTGACAATTTTCATGTAAAACAAAGCCAAACGAATACCAAAAAATACTTTTATTTTAACATTTTTCACGTGAAAAATTATACCAATCAAACACAATAATTTACAATTCTCAATAAAACAATTTATAGACAATTCAATTTTCTAGAATTCATTTTCAATTCAATTTAATTACATCTTTGCAATCAAACGGACCATTAATGTTTTTCAGATTTACCTTGTTAAAAAATAAAAATAAAAAATAGACTCGTTCACTCCGTGCACAAAGTGGAAGAGCATGGTGGTAGAATTTTTTTCTCCTTTCTCAACTCCAAATTCTCGGGTTTTGGAGAAATTTTGAGGTTGTTTGTTTTTATGAAATTTTAGTCAGATTTAATTAGAAACGTGCCAATCCAACTGATAAATAAAATAAATTAAATGATTTAACAAATTAAACAAAAACAAAATTACAAGCAAAAATAAAAAAGAAACAAAAAAAAGTTGTTATAAAGTTTTTAAATTGAATTGACATAATTAAATTAAAAATAAATATTATTTAATTAAAATTAAAAAATTTGTGTTCTATCGTAGAACAAAAAGAATTAAAAAGAATTTAAATTAAAAAAATATTTATAATATGAAGAAAAAATATGTTTTAAAACAATTTTCAAAAAAATATAATAAAAACAAAATAAAAGAAAGTTACAAAAATTAAATAAAGAATATATAAATATTATTTAATTAAAATTGAAAAATTATCATGAAGAGAAAAGAATTAAAAAGAATTAATTTAAATGAAACAAATGAAAAAAGAAGAAAAAAAAGAAAAAAAAAATTTCTCTCCATCCATGGTGTAAAAAATGTGTGTGGAGCACTTTACTTTCTTTTTTTTTTTTTTTTTCAAATTGAAAAAAAAAATTCTATTTGAAAAAATTCTTTTTAATTCTTTTCTTTTTACGATAAAACTTAATTTTTTTAATTTTAATTAAATAATATTTATATATTCTTTATTTAATTTTTGTAACTTTCTTTTATTCTGTTTTTATTATATTTTTTTGAAAATTATTTTAAAATTTATTTTTACTTCATATTATAACTAAGTTTTTGTTCGATTTAAAATTCTTTTTAATTCTTTTTTGTTCTACTATAAAACGCAATGTTTTCAATTTTAAATAAATAATATTTATTTTTAATTTTAATTATTTCAATTTAATTTACAAAATTTATAATAATTTTTTTAATTTTATTTTTTATTTCATTTTTATCCCTTTTTACTTGCATTTATAGTACAAAACGACATTGTTTCCCTATGTTGAATGGCAAAACGATCCATTTACTCCATTAAGATGATAAAGGATTGAATATATCTTATATATAATTATAGAAATATTTATATTTAATT